TCTTGCTAAGGTACCTTCGATATTTTGACGTTTTTATTCGAAAGACAAAAAAATGAAAAGACGCTCATCTCAAATAGTGTCTAGTGCATGTAAAAAAAAATGTTCAGCTCAGTTGAACATAACATATCCAAGAAACGGGGGAGGACCATCGTGATCCCAGTATCTCATAGAAGACAACATCCGGAAACTTTGAGTCTATGACAACTTTTGCTCTACTTGTCAAGATCTATCAAGTTTTTCTAACGAGTCGTTCTCCAGGGTTCCCGATAAGGGAAAGGGGCATAGTGTGCATTTTTCGCGTGGCAGACAGACATATGACTTTTTTTGCTTACAAATAATTGGATATGACGCAGAAAAGCATTTTTAACAAAAACAATGTTCTCCCACGAGAAATGCCTAAGGGAGAACCCTTGGTCTTATTTTTTCTTCAAAATTATTTTAAATTATATATCATTCGGAGCAGTTTAAGACGCTGATTCTAAATATACTATTTTTGTCGATTAAATATTTTTTCAAAGCCTGAAAAATCCATTTTACAGTCCAAAAATGCTGAAAAAGTACGATTTTCATTTTTAGCTAAATGTCCGTCTAGATGTACACTCTATGTAGGTGGTATTCTTAATGATGTTATAGATTTTCAGATTATTTTAGAGTTAGTCTGATATTAATATTGTATATGATGAAATTTTAAATTTACAATAACTATGTATTGAGCTATTAGTATATCTGAAAATGTAAGTAGCTCAATTGCTTATATAATTATTTAATATATTAGATATACTTAATATAAGTACGAAAATATCACAAAGAACATGCATAAATTTTTCGACTAATTGTTGATAGTTTGAGAAAATACTTGAAAAAAGTATAAGTATTATAAACATAATTTATTTGAAGCATTTGCAGTAAATATATTCAATAGGACACTTATCTGTTCAAATTTCAGCAGTATTCTGTGTAATAAATTAATCATTTAAAATGACTCATCTATCATTAAGTTTCATTCTCTAATTTCTGTCATATTTGAGTATTGTTAGAATTATAATCTAAGTTATGAAGATATATAATCAAGCAGAGATGAGATGAGATCAAAAAAATTTAATGAGTCTGTTTCCTATCGTGACAAGTTTCAATTAAGATTTTCCATAAGCGACAGTTCCTTCATACGTAACTGTAAGCAGAATACTAAATATAAGCTTTGCATAGATAGTAATTTATGCTAGACAGATATTAAGCCTCGGTTAAAAATTATGCTATGATATATAGCGCTTTGCCTTACTTAATTATATTGGCTTTGGATTTTCTCTTTTTTTTTGACTCATGGATTTTGCGCATATAACAGATTTCCCAGAATAAAGATCTAACTCTCTACAAATGTGAATAAAAGGTTTCAGTACAAAAGTATTAGTCAAAAATTCTCAGCTGTACACGATCAAACATGTACATAATGTACCTCGAAACATTATTTTGTCGTTTTTTCATCGTCTTAATTGTAAGACATATTAGATATAAAGCAAATCTAATTATCAGTTGAGTAGTTCTTGCAAAGCTCTTTCTGAATAATACATCAAATTTCATCTGTAAGCTTTGATTGATATACAACGAGACTTGATTCTTTCGGGAACATTTCGACAAAAAATTAACGACAATTTGTAAAATTCCCGTGTCTAGCTAGGTTCCACATTAATTTTTGCGTTGAATTATTGTCATTTTTTTTTGAAAACAAATGGCCTGTTTGTTAAATGTACGCAACGATTTCGTATAAAATTTAATATTTGTGAAAAAATAAGTGTGAAATACGAATACAAACTTCTGACATTTCATGCCGTTCTATAATAAACTTCGGCAGACAAACATCGCAATACTTTTCAAACAGTCTTAGCTAACGATGACGACAAAATGTATAATTAAGAACATGAAAGATTGAGATGTGAATTGCTAGGTGCACATCTACTCATAGGAAAAAGAACTCGCTGTTGAAAGAAATTATTATTATAGAAAACATGAGTCGTGGTCGCTGTATAATTGTCTGCACAGTCTGTTTGACTGATAATTGTTATACTGAAATACCTTACACATATTTGTAGAGAATTAAATAAGGAATCTTTTAATTAAAGAAATCAAGACAAAGTAATGAATATTAACAGAGACATCAATAAAGTACTAAGAAATCGATTTATTCAAGGACAACCATTACACAATGATCGTATCTAGAATTTAAGTACAATTACGTTCTTCTTTGATAATAAATTGTTTTTGTATTAGAAATAAACGAATAGTTTAAATAAAATCTATTTCATGCTTGTCAATTCATATTCGAATGAATATTATTAAAAAGTATCAATCTAAATCTATCTTCATATTATAATATGTTCAATAAAAAAGAATTAAATTTTAAATAATTATAATAATAAATAAAATAAAATTTCTAATATGAACAACAAATTCTATGTCATTTAGCATTTTTTTACTAAGCAAGGACAGTGCCAGCCAGTATAGCAGAAAAGAGGCGGAGAAAGAAAAGCACCAATTTTATCCACGCGATATTTGAATTTCCTTGGAAATCGAATATTGCGTGGGCAAATACTACTCTACTCTCCTCTAACGCCGTCCCTGCCATTAAGATAATAACTTGCGGAAGAACGTTGAATAATATATAATTCTGTCTAGAGAAAAGATGAAAAAAACATCCCGCATTTCTTAAGACGAATTGACCTTGAAACACGTGTCATACGTTAGAACAGAAAAAAAGTACTTGCATACAAACATGCGTTCATATTACTTTCGGCGAATACAAAGAATAAAAGGAACAAAACGATTTTTTTGTGGATTTAAGATATAGAATATGTCAAATGACTAATAAAATGAAAATAAGTTCGTTTTGCTTTTTAGAACAAAAATAAACAAATGTCATCTTTTTTTTTTTTAAATAATGAAAATTTCATATGTTGTACTGAATGATAATTTCTAACAATTAGATCTATATTACAATTAAAACAAGCATAATTTTAACCACCTACTCAGAGTTAAATTCAACTATTTCTTTCTTATTGATCAAAGCGGAAAAATTATGCATGCTATCATATTGTACTTGTAGTTAGCTTTATAATCTGAGTGTTAGAAGAAAATTAGGATATTCAAGCGTTTGAATTGTCGTTCATTCAAGATGAAACATTTTAAAGTTTTTCAGTTTGATGCAAACAAAAAAGTCATCGTATTTTTTTTCTTGTTTCGATTCAGAGCAGAATTTTTGTTTTATTAATTTTTTCATTCTACAGTTTTCATCAATGATTGGTAATGACATTCGACAGTACACATTTGATTGCTATCTAAGTAATTGGAAACAAAGCAAAATAAAAACCTGATTAGTTAACATTAATAGTCGCGTCTATTGTGTCATGTAGTATTCTCTTTTTTTTATTTATTATTTCCTTCAAGGTTGTTTTTTTTCGTTTAGCTTGATTGTGTATTTTTTTTCTCGATGATTAGATAAATATATAACCAATCATATTCATTAATGGTTTGTCAGTTGCACTGAAAAATCTATCTGATTCTTTTAACCCAATTGATATTGTTTACATTTTCTGAATGTGTGTTATTTTTAGAATTCATATAGATAAAATACTAGATAATATAGAAAAACAAAGAAAATGTGGAAAAAAAAGGGTCAACAAATACAACGATCTATTAACAAGTATTCAAAATAGAAAGTTCATTGTACTTGAACAAAGAATAGTTATATAATGTCATATTTTACTTTTTTTTTCTTCTTTTCTTCCTATTTTTTGGTCAACTATTTTTATTATTAGCATCTGCGTCTTTTCTAGTCATAAAATTTACAATAAGGAACAGTAAGAAAAAAAAAAACGATACTCAGACAAGTGCATTAAGAACAAAAAAAAAGTTATAGAACAGGGTGAAAAGAAGAAAGAGAAAAAAAAGAGAGAAAGGAAGAAATGTCGGCCTGACGCTATAAATAATGGTTTATAGGCGACCGCTTTATCTATATCTATGTGTAAGTGCATTTTTACTTTCTATGTCGCCATCGATTCTATGTGTTTATGTAGAGAGTATAGAGAAAAAAAAAGAGAATGGTAGACTGTCTAATGTTTGTTTCGAAAATGGTCGTATAATATAAGTAGGCTATAATTTTTACAGTCTCCTGGCAATAGATAGAAGGCTTTATTCAACATGCAGTACATCAAAAATAACTTAGATAAAAGTAAGAATAATATTTTTTTAAATTTCGATGATTTAAAATATTTATTCAATATGTATACAGATGATTTTTTCTTTATGAAGTAAGAAACATGTCTATAACCAGATTTTTTTTCTCATCCTGTACTCACTCAATTAAGCGCACATTCAACCTCACATACCTGATCACGTCCAAATTTTTTTTTATTGGATGTTGCACTTGCACAAACATGCGAGTAGACTTTGTTGAGTTTGTATTTTTTTTTCTCATATTCTATAAAAATCACATTCTCATTGACAAAATCAAGTTTTTAAACCATAAGCAATAATAGAAAAGAATGATATAGAGAATTTGTCAATGATTATAATTATGATAAAAATGTGAATAAGGCGTACATGTGTATACAATGGTTACTTTTTATTTCAAAACAATTTTTCAATCGTTGATGCTCAAGGCAATAACAGAGTGTAATAGAAAATTCCTTCCCATTTCAAACCGGTTTTTTCCTTCTATTTGCTTTCTCTTTCTATCATTTCTGTGATATGAATATACGTGCATTTTTATTTTTCAATGTAGATTATTATTGCCTTATGATATTATTTTTTGCCTTGTATTAGAATAGTATATTTACGTTTTTTTCCTGTTCTTTAGTAGCAAAGGCATGTCTACATATCTCAATAGCCACATAAAAAGGGTCATGGGAGCAATCTTTTTTAATAGTAAATCACACTTGTTTTTTTTTTAAATGTCGTATTTGTTTTTTCAGATAGACAGTAATGAAAATAAGAAATTAACATAAACAATGGACAGTAATAGTGATAAAGTAATATCAATGATTGAAATTGCGGATGATGGTTCAACAAGTATTGATGATGACATGCAGGAAGTTGATTATAAGCAACGATCTCGAACGCATATAGCACGTTCAAGTGCTGGCAGTACGAGTAGTACTGGTACAGCAACAAATACAGGAACAAAACGTCAAAAAGATATATCACCATGTTATGTATGTGGAGCAAAAGCAAATGGTTATAATTTTGATCAAAGTAATAGCAACCAAAAAAAAACAATTTAATAGATTTTAATTTATTTAAATCTAGTTACGTGTGAGTCATGTAAAGCATTCTTTCGCCGAAATGCATTAAAGTCAATGGTAAATATTTATTTTGTTAAACATGAAAAGGAAGAAAAAAAGTTTTATATTAAATATAATTTAGGAAAAATTTCGTTGTCGTAATAATGATAATTGTATTGTAACATCAGTAACACGTAAGCGTTGTAAAAGATGTCGTTTAGCTAAATGTTTTAAAGTTGGTAAGTATTAAATCAATAAAAAAAATAAATTAAAGAAAAATCTTATTTATTTGATTTAATTAGGTATGCGAAAAGAATGGATATTAACAGATGAAGAAAAAACTTTAAAACGTCAAAAAATTGTACGTAATCGTTTAATTAAACAACAAGCACAAGTGAATCTTCGACAACAAATAAATGATTTAGGTCATTCAAATGCTCAAACAAATATGAAAACATCAGAAGTTAGTTTTTTATTTCATAATTGAAATTTTTTCTTTTATTTGAATCCAATTAAATTATGCTAATAAGAGAAGAAAATAATATTCCTGATTTTTTTGAAATATTCGAAAATTCTATTTATATTATGTAAATAAATTTATTAAAGAAACAATAGTAATATTTTTCTTGATTTCAATATAGAACAATGACATTAAGTTAAAGTTTACTCTCTTGACATTATTCACTAGAGTTTGTATTGAGTCAATCATCAAAATAGCTTGTGCAGATGTCGATTATCACATTGATATGATTAAATTTAGCACCAATTAATTTCTTTGTAGAGACGTAAAATGAGTCATAAACGAACTGTTCGTCTTGAATGACATGAAAATTACATTTGTTTTTTTTTTATTAATTTTGATGTTTTTTTACAGCTTTGCTGTGATTTTATTTGTAGATAGGTGAGAAATATAACAAATACTTTTGAATGAAATAATGGTTTCAAATTCTGAGAGGGCAAACTCGTTCTTTGGAGTGGCGTTGCCCTCCTGACCCTGACACTGAATGAGTCATTTAGGGAAATGATATATAACTAGACACTTGCAAAGGCAAGTATTCTCGGATTGAAATAAATTTTTTTCGCGTTCCTGGATCGTGTCAGTATCGTTAGATAGGATCATTGATTCTGATTCAGATTCGATATTATTCATTCCTACTGTTAAGAGCTCAGCCAGATAAGAAGCAATTACAAAAGCTGTAGGTTTCTTATCTTTTATAGATAAGAAAATATTTAAAAACGTCCATGCCATGTTTTTTGACTTGCTATCAGCTGTAATGAAGCTTTTAACATGAAGATCCTATTATTCGTCAATTTATATAGAAAATAAAATAATTCTAGAAAAACTATTCCTCATATTACTTTTATACTATACATGGATCAATATGAACCAAATTATTATGAAAAATGCTGCTTTCACATCTCTAATCGTAATATTTTTAAAAACTACTCTGCAAGTAGATTATATTTATAATATTATATGTCAATTCGACAAATAATCAGTCTGTGTAACTCAATAAAACCAATTTTCTTTCACCTTTTTTGAAAGTACACTATTTTAAAACTCGTTAACTTTAGCGAAAGAATGATGAAAAGAAATCTTATGAATGTGTAGCTTATAGAAGACTTTACATAGTATTCAAGAACCGTCTCGATCCGATACTTTATTACTCTAAATAGAAGAGTTTCTATGAATGATCTAAGTCGGATAGTTTTTCGCACTACCAACAGTAGACTGCCAGTTCGAGAAGAACTATCGATATATTGAATATTATATACACGAAAAGATCTTTGAAAAATTCTTTTTTTCTCCAACTTTTACATCTTTTAGAAATCGTTATCTAAAGTTGAGCAACCTGTTATGAGTTCATCATCACCATTAATGTATATGAAACCTTCACCTGATCAACAACTGTATGAACGTCAACAATGTTTACTTGCAAAATTATCCGATGGATACCAATTAATCACTAAACAATATCCTCAACCGAATAAATTTATTTATCGTAATCAAATTATATATCAAGCAGAAGATATTGAATTAAAAGTATCATTAATTAAAGATTTAACACGAGAATTAACACAAATGACAGCATCACGTTTATTACATTATTTTAATTTAATACCTGAATTTCAATTATTAACACAACAAGAAAAAACATCTAGTCTTACACAAAATTTGTTAAAAGTTTTTATGTTTCATGGAGCATTAACATATCATGATGATAATGATACATTTGTTGATCGTACAACAGGTAAAAAAATAAAAAAAATAAAAATTTTATGAACATAAAAAGAAAGATAACTTCTTTGTTTTTTCAAATATAGCTGATCAACCTTATGATGCAAAATATTTGATACATGTTTATGGAACAGCAGTTTATACTAATCTTATAACGTTAGCTAAACGGTTAAATTCTGCTATAAATCAATCAATAATTGATAAACAATCAGAGGAAAATGCACATATATTATTCTTATTACTTATGATAATTCTCTTATTTTCAAATGATTTTCACGTTAATACAATTGAAGAGAGTCAATCAAAATTATATAAAATTCAACAGAATTATATTGATATAACATGTCGATTTTTACATGATCGATTTGGTTTTGCAAATAGTCGACAAATGTTTCAAAATCTTGTTCCTGTACTTATTGGTAAATATTAATACTGAGAAAGAAAACAAAATCGTTCATTCTATATACAGTGCCGGGTAAGAGTCACGTTATCAAAAAAATATTTGAATATCTCTATACGACTCGAGCAAACAAGGTGATTTTTTTGTCAATGATAGAGACATGTTCAAGCTTTATATCCATAAAGACATGCCTAGAGAGAGAGATTCTTTGTTAAGTATCACTAGTGATCTCAACAGAAAAAAATTTACTTTTTCACAGATAGGAAAAAAAAATAATGCCCTATAAAGAAAGAATAGTTTATCAAGAAAAAATGTAATCAATCCAAGAAACTTATGAATAAGACGCGTTGTACATTCAGAGATATTTTCTCTTTGTGCTCTACTATAACAATGATCTAACAGCAAGACGTCGTACCATCCCACTATGAACAAATTGTGCAAGATTATTTAGATGATACATTCTTATATTGGATCGATCGTCGAGGAACTGTTAAATGGCCACCACAATCTCCAGATTTAACTCCATATGATTTCCATTATGAGGGATTACAAAAGATTGTATCTATGTCCAAAATCTTCGCGATATAATTCATCTTGAGTCATTAATTGAATAAGAATTTACATCACTCAATGATAACATTGAATTATTCCAAGCAATTTATCGTTCTGTAGCTGTTCGTTATCAGAAGTGTATTAACACAGAAGGCAAACAATTTCAATAATTATTCTATTTTTCTTGATAAACTGTTCTTTCGTTATAGTCTATTGTTTTTCTCCTATCTGTGACAAAGTAAAAATTTTTTTTTTGTTGAGATCACTGATGGTACTTAACAAAGGATTTCTTTCTGGGCATGTCTTTATCATTGACAAAAAAATCGGTTCGTTTGCTTGAGCTCTACTAGAGATATTCAAATTTTCTTTTTCAATAACGTGATTTTTGGGCTACTCTAATATTATCAACAAAATTCCATTGATTAGATTTTAACTAAATTTTTGTTTTTTTCTCCACTCAATAAGCTATACTTTCATATTGAAATATACCATTTCTATGAGTATTATTCACTTCTATTTAAACATTTGCTAGTAACCTGTTTTTTTTCTTGAGAATTAACTATTAGTAAAAACACTAACCATCGTTTTATCAATACCCAAATAACTATAACTAGCATTTTTTTTGTTAATTTCTGGTTCTATATCTAATCATCAAGAAATTATTTGTATAACTCAGAGAAATTATCCTATTTCTTTCTTTTTTTAAATTAGATCTTCAAAAATTATGTTCATCATTAGCCAACGTTAGTTTATGTGAAATGGTTGAAGATGATGATCGATCAGTATCACCAAGAACAACAACAACAACATCGACGGAAATTCATAATTCTGAACAACAATCAATTCAATCATCACCAATATCATCTTCATTAGAATTTAATTCAACAATGATTAGTGGTACATCTTATATGAATGAATTACAAAAAGAAAATCGAGCACCATCATCATCATCATTATCACCAAATGTTCGATCATCACATACAACAACAACTACAGCACTTCATGATTATACAGTATAAACAATTTCTATACGATTAATTGTACTATATATTTTGCGTTTGTTTTTGTTTTTGTATCCATCAGTCATAGGAACGTCCAGTCATATGATTAGTGATGCCTTTTTCATTTTTTTCTTTTGACTACTCGTGAAATATACCAATAATATTTATGAATATCTATAAATATTCTATGTTGATGGTTGAGTTTATTGCATATTCATTATTTTCACATTATTGATGTTCTTTGCTTTGTCTGTGTTACTGTTAACATGAAATTTCTTTTAATTTCGATTTTGTATTTTCGTGCGCTAGCATAAGTTCTTTTGTTTCTTTCTTAATTATTACTTCTGATTATTGTTTCAATTTGCGTTTGAACTGTACAGATACATATGGATGAAAAATAAAAACCAGAAAAAAAAAACAGAATAATTTGTTTGAAAATCAAAATATCAAAGAAAAAAAATGAAAAGTATATAAGAACATATTTTTGGATTTTCAATGCTAAATTTAATTCTATCATATATGAAATGATAGATTATTACTCTATGATCAATTCAAAGTATTTTCATAGGATTTTAGATGTAATCAGGATTTATTATTCATCACATCATCAACTATCAATTAGTCATAAACATCTTCTAACTATATAAGTAACACTTTTAAACCAGAGATGAAAAGTGGTTCAATATTATTAAGGTACGAAGCATTTATATAGTGGGGTATCGCAAGTTTTCTTTATTTATTGTTAGACGTGCTGACATCGAACCGGAAGTACTTTTTTTCTTTAAATTTTCCCTAAGACATTCCATTTGGTTACAAATAGGATCCTAAAAAGACAAATTTTTCAGGACATTGATTTTATTTTTTTCAACCTTCGTGATAATCAAAACAAAAGTTAGCTGCTACTCTCTTTGCTCATGTATCAAACAGCTGTAACTATAGCTGATAACAGATAATGAATCATATAGATGATTAAGCGATCAATCAACAATATTCTTTACAAAGATGTTAATGGGCGTTGATAAAGTCTTTGTAGTGATGAATTTTACTATAGCTACTTTTCAATTTCATTGATATACGCAGATAAATTTAACATATTGTATCGCAGTGATCGTCGGAACCGAAAACCAGAAAATATTCGTTCAAATGTAAGATGGAAATGCCGAAATTCAATCAAAAGAAAGCTTTCTTTTGCAATTTTCTTAATGAGGTTCGGTTTACATACAAAGAACATCTGCAAAAACACAAATTTTTTAGGACTTTGTCATTTCTTCATTTTGAAATAATTGAAATAAAGATAGCAGCAAAAACTAACCACCACCATTCTGTTTGTATATTTATCAAACAGCTGTATTCACAGCTGATAATAGATAATGAATCATCGACAAGTAAACTATCAGTCAACAGCGTTCTTTAGAAACATGTTGATAGGCATTCATAGAGTTCTCATAGTAATGAGTTTTATTATGACTATTTTTCAGCTTGCACCAGATTTTGATCAGCTGATTGATGGAAAGGCAACTTTTTCGATTTGCAACAACTGAGAGAAACGTCAGGTTTCGATAGAATGTAAACAACTTGACGAGAAACATCATTTGACATTGATCCTAGAGTCGATTACTCATTTTAGTCGAAAATTCGATTATTTCGCATTTTGACGAAGTCGAGATGTCATCTAGTTCTGATAGGCCTTCGTTCATGCTATATTTCCAAGTAAAAACTATTCATTTAGAATACAAGCTCATTTTTGGCTAGATCTTTTATTTCTTAAAATATGATCATATATGAACAACAAATATATGTTTTATTTTCGATGAAACCAACTTCGACGGAATTTTCGTTAAATGTTCATTTGATAGAGCTTTTCAAGCTCTACGAAATTAGCTGTTTTCAAGAATCTAAAAAAGCGAATCAGTCAACAAAGTTCTAAGCTAACTATTCTTGAGACCTAATTTATGACTGATATTGACCAGTTTTTCTGACAGAATAATATCCATTTGACTTCAAAGAAATGTCACAGTTGCAATTAGCATAAAAATCTCAGTCGACTTATATGTATTTCAAGTTTTTTCTGTCGTAACTTTTTATTTGTGATTCCCTTCAGAAGTGTATGTGAAAAAAAATGAATTGAATCAAAAAGTCATGTGGAAAGCTAGCTTTGAACTTGTCAAATGATGCTTGAAGACAGGTGAATATATAATAAGATTGATGTTTCAATTCAATTCATTTTTTTTTCACATATTTTTGAAGGAATCACGAATAAAGATTTGAGAGGAAAAAAAAGTTGACTCAGTTTTTGTGTTGATTCCAAATATGAGACTGTTTTACAGTCAAAATGAGATTATTTTGTCCAAAAATCGGCAAATTCCAGTCGAAAATATCACAAATCAGATCTCAAGAATAGTAAGCTTAAGGTTATATTGACTAGCCCGCCTTTTTAGATTTTTGAAAAATAGCTAGTTTTATAGGGTTTGAAAAGCTGTATCGAATAGGTATATAAGAAAAACTGTGTCCTTATATAGTTAGAAGATATTATTGACTAATTGATAGTTAGTGTTGTGGTGAATGACAGATCCTGATTACACCTAAAATCCGATGAGAATACCTCGAATTGATCAGAAAGTTATAATCTATCATTTCACACACCATTGAATTAAATTTAACAATGAAAATCAAAAGAATTCAACATGTGTTCTTACAAACCCTTGTCCTTTCTGAAATACAGTTTTTCGTTTAAAGCAGAAGATGTACTTCGATTGATATTTGCAATTGTAGTTGAAATCAATTTCACATTTTTTTTTATAAATTATTAATATAAATTGTTTCTTTATTTAATTTCCGCAATTTGCAAAAATAAATTCCCTTTTAAATCTATTGAAGTTATTAAAAAGAACGAATTCTGAACTAATTTCTATATTACGTAGTGTATGTTACATCATCAACAGAAACTTTTATCTCTTAGAAGAATTTCAAAATAGATCAGTTATATTTTGTTCAAAACTTTTTGTGAACTGATATTAGTTTATATAATTTGTACAATTGATCATTTATATGACAAATAAATTTTGACTGTTATGAATAGATGTTTTGATTTGAATCGTATACTTACGATATCTGTTGATGATAGAAGGAGGTTCGATAAAGTTGTTGCATTGGTTAAACAACTATTTCATCATTTTTCTCCGTTTTCTTACTAAAATTGACTGAATCTGAAGTAAGACTACAAGGAAATGACACGTTTTTATATATTTATTCTTCTTGAATTTTCAAGAATATTCAAGATTTTTCTAGACGATTCCATCAACTGGATATAAAAATACTAATTTTTCTTTTTCGATCATCATTACAATCATAAATACATCATTTAACTAATGGCTGACAATTCAAAACAAAGTTTTCTTAATAGTCTTTTTCAATGGACAGTTAAGAGTACTGCACAAGAAGCAGCATCAACAACATCTAGTGATGTTGAACCTATGAATGAAGAGGTAAATATCTTATATAATGAAAAATATTTAATAATAAATTAATTCTATTCATTTAATTTTTAGAAAAAACAATGGTTAGATGCAGCTTTAGAAAATCTAACAGTTAATCCAGTTGAACGAATTAAATTATGTATAAATAAAATAAAAGATAGTCAAATAAATGATGAACAAAAAAAAGAATTTCTCGATGAACTTTGTCATTGGACAGAAGAACTTGATTTAGCAAAAGATTTTTTTACTGTTGGTGGTCTTGATATTTTATTACCATTATTAGATCATAATAATGATAATATTCGTATTCAAACATGTTCATTACTTGCTACTCTTGTTCAAAATAATGAACATTGTCAAAGAATTATTGTTCAATCTGGTTTACAACAAAAATTATTACAAATTCTTAGTGAATCAAATAGTCCAGATTTAAAAACAAAAGCTGTTACAGCTATATCAGGTATGTTGATTTTTTTTCAAGCTACAGGTTGTTTTTTTTTTGTGTTATTCTTTTGTATTGATAAAGATTAAAATTCTTTTCTTTTCTTTTTTCTTAAAGCCTTAATTCGAGGTTATACACTTGGTCAACTTCAATTACAAAAATATCAAGGTCCAAAAATATTAATTCAAGCTATGTCATCACCTATTCCACGTTTACAAAATAAATTATGTTTTCTTATTAATACGATTTGTTCAACAAGTGCACATATGAAAAGTAATATTTGTTTAATAATCTTTATGTATCATCTTCTATTTTATTTTATTTTTTTTTTGTTTTCTTATAGAATTATTTTATGAAAATGGTGCATTATTAGAATTAATACGTTTATTTAATAATGAAGCATGTCCTGATCATCAACATACACTTGAAACTATTTTAACAATATCAAGTATAAAACCAAATGCAATGTTTACATTTGCTCAAAGTAATTCATCATTAATTGACGAATTTCAACAAAAACTTAATACACGATATCAAGATATTCAAAATTCTGAAGATTATAAAGTTAGTTTTTTAATTAAAAAAAATAAAACAATCATTATTATTGATTTTAATTTATGTTTTTCTTTCTAGGATGAAATTAATTTAATTAATCAAATACGAACATTACTGACATCATCTTCTGCAGAACATGATCAAGTACCAGAAGCAAAAGCAGATCAACAAATACTTGCAACATCTTGATAACAATAGAATTTTATAATTGTATTGATTTATTTAGTTTTTAAATAAAGAAAAGAGTTAAACAGGAAAATTATTATTTCCTATAAAACCTATCAGAATATTAAAGAACAAACAAAAAGAGAACATTTTTTTTCCAAATATAATTTATATTAATGGTGTAATACTATATCCTGGACTTTATGATTATTGAACCATGTACTATATATCTGTACTTCCGAAACTAGTTTTTCGCCTTTCCAGAATAGCAAATCTGGATAAAGCATTGCGAACATCTGCTTATTAAAAGTTTGAAAACTCATTGTCGTGTCGCATTACGAAATAATCAAAGTGAAGAATTAACAATTATATCAATCTATCTATAACATGTATATATCATGCTGAAGTACAACTTCGACAGAAAATTTTGTCGAAGTTATTTTGCAACATTTAACTAAATATCTTTCATCAACAAGTCAGTATCATCGAGTTGAAGCATGCATTGAAACTATTCCTTTCAGCGAAACAATATTTATTTTGCAGAATTTACAAATCATTTAGAAGTAAAACATTTTGTTTACTAATGTCGTTGAGTTTCCTATTTACTTAGAGTACTTCAAATGTTCTAAAGAATCGACAAAGGCAAAAAACTTTGATGATATAACCAGTGATAAACTTAAATTGATAGTAAATAAAAAGTCGATTCATCCATGAGTAGATGTCAATCTTTTCATCTATCATTTCAAATAAAGATAACATAGACATGAGTTGATGTGCTCATGATTGCCGGATTGTATTGCTCATTATATTCTATTGCAATTAAGCTTCCGCAATAAAGCTAATTATGAAATCCGAAATGAAAGATAAGTATAATTGAAATAATCAGATTATGGATCATGAATAATTTCGATAGATGTAAAAGAAGAGTATAAATAGAGGAAAAATGTAATATATTCAAATAATTTATACGTCAGAGTATATCGTACATATCATCACAACTATAAATTTGCAATATGATTATAAATATTGTTCAGCTGAAAGGAATAGCTTCAATGCATGTTTCAACGCGATGATATTCACTTGTTGATGAAAGATATTTAGTTAAATGTTGCAAAATAACTTCGGCACGACATATACAAATCACGAACTCAAGATTCTTCATATTGTTTTGCAACCATAATGAAAATAATATTGTCGAAGTTTTGCATATCAGATACAAATGTGTATAGAAGTAGAACATTTCATGTCCTACTAGATCCAAACAAAATAAATGTTGCCAATGTTATTTAGATTGTCTATTCTATTTAGTAACAATCGACAATACAATTGATCTATAATTATTTAACTAGAATAGACATACTAATCTGTATTATTATATATAAAGCATTAATATAGATGAGTGAATAAACTATGAAAGAATTGTCGAGTTAAATCATTTCATACGATTATCTATAATTTTTTGTTCCAAGATGAATATATTTTTAATGTAATATTATTTCGTTGAAGATTTATATTGATTAGTTTTCATTAAAGAAATATTCATAGATTGTTTTATTGCTAAAATTTAATTCAAAAAACAAAATAAATAAATATTAGTTCACTTACAAGGGAAGGTGACATGCCAATCAAGTGGTTATTTCACCCAAAAGTAGGTCTCAGTGAGATTAGAAGAAGTCTACAAGGATTTATCTCCATACATTATCCTTCACGAGTTACGATCGTTTTCCTATATTTTCTGGACTATCTTCATTACGATTCATACTATTTAATTGATTTTACCAATACTTTGCAATCTTATATCTGATCAATATTTCAGTATAGTAATTGTGAATATAAACAACTATCTCATGTTCATGTTTGACTCGACTTGAAGACCAATGAATAATCAAATATTACTATTCAAAAAAAAATCCAAGGATGATAGTATGATATATATTTGTATCAATCATACGTGCTATTCGATACATCACGTCTCAGCATCAAATAATTTATGATTGAAAGAAGATATCTATTTACTTTTACATTCTTTTTTTTCATCAATCGAGAGAGTAGATATGAAGTTCTCGTTTAAGCAGTTTGCTTTTTTTTTGATTGGTATGTAAATATTTGATCGATTCTATCTTGATAATTTCATTTTAGTTGTTTTTAAAGATTTGTTTGACTGAAGGCAACGAAAATTATTTTGTTCTAAAATCTAATTGATTTATATTTATTAATATAATAGAAAAAATTTTAAAAAAAGATCAGAAATATTATCTTATGTCAGAAGTATTTGTTTTACTTCTCAACCAATCTATTATTTCATTTATATATATTACATTTTAACAATATAAGTATAAATCTCTAGAGATTATTATTTTTTTAAATGTCATATTTTATCTATTTGGAACTTTTTCTTATAATAAATTATCTAATATGTCAAGATAAAAGTTTTTATCATTTAAGAATACAAATCAGTTTTATTTGATATATTTAACGTCTTTTGATAAAATTCTCTAAAGAACGTACTCGTATGATAGAAAATAAATAAATAAATGAATAAGTAATCGTTAGAGGATTTGAATCATACTCTTCGTTTCTTTCATGTAATATTATTTATGATTATACACAAACTCGTTAAATCGATGACACTTGCTTATCTATCCTTTTCTGTTTCTTTCATGTTTCTGGCAAGAAAAAGAACTTATATAACATTCTCTTTTTTTTTTACAACAGAGTTTATTATACTTCGATCTGATATAATGCTACTTTACTAACAAACAAAATAACAATAACAAAGTAGGTCAATTTGAACGATTTTTATATTCAAAAAAAAAAAAAAAGAAATTCTATCTGATTGTAAATTCTGTCGTTCTCAATATAATCCGGTTTTTCTTTCTTATTGTTCGTCCTTGTTTTTTCTTCTTCTTCTTGGTATGTTTTGATGGCCATCATAACAAACTCATCGAACTTATATCTAACTGTCAAAATAAGTAGACTAATAAAACAATAAAAAAAAGTACATTTCTTCTAGAATGATAAGTTTATATAGATATGGTTTGATGTATTTAGAAGAAAAAAGATATGAAAAGCAATGCAATTGAAAGTTATCGTTCAGTACTTAATCAAAGAATCAGTTTGATTGTTATTTGACAAAAATAAATATCAAGTTAGATGACAATGATTGCGTCACAATAGAAACGTCTATGCGTGCAATAAGAGAAAACGAAGCGATTAGTAATGTTACAGGCTATAAATACTATGTATATCTATTTACTTTTGACTTATGACAAACGTCCATGCAACAACTTTTATATATTATCCAGTCTAATACAAAAGAATAGAAAGAAAAGAAGCGTAAGAGATACAAAAAAAACCAGTATTGCTTCGTCATTCTCTATTGACTGTCAAACAAACATCGATATTATGATACGAGAACTTTAAGCATAATTTTTTATGTTATTGTTAAGTGATAGAGTTAGCAGAAACAGAAAATGATCAAAAGAAAAAAATACAATAGTCTATTCATATATATTAAATTATAGGATTAGTTTCTTGAGGAGAGAGACTTATTATCAATGATGTAAGAGTGACCTTTACCAGTCCTAATTTCACAGAAACGTTTGTTCTGTTTGGTATCAAAACCAAAAGTTACATTGGTAAGTTCACTCAGTATTTATTCGAGAAAATCATATTGCTCAAATATAAAATAGTTATCATCGATCCACTTAACTTTTTTCTTTTTCGATGTTAAATTTTATGAGTATCTTAATAGAATTGAGAGTGTTAAAATCACTTTTCTTTATCTTAAAATATTTTTTTATCTGTCATTATATTAACATCAGTTATTATTTATTCATTCTTAACTCTTTCTTTTATTTTAGTTAGCCAAATACAGTAGTGTATTTTTACTTGTGAAATTTTTATTTTTCTTTTTTTCAATATTTTAATTTTAATGTTTTCTCGTCGTAACTTACGTCGTAATCTTGTGATCATTTTTTCCTTACCTATTATTTTATTAACTTTATTTATTATACATAAAAGTCGTAATATTATATTTCTTGAACATTCATCACATCAATATCATGAACATACATCTCATTTTTCACGTGATACAAATCAAATAGAGCATGTTCGAGCAAAACGTTCGACAAGACAAAGTAGATCATCGACTATTTCTATTAATAAACAATTACAAAATCAAAGTTCGATGATTGTTAATCCTTATACAGTATCACTTGTAAATGTTTTAAATAATCATAAACAATTACAAGATTTAAAACCTATTCAACAAATTCTTCCATATCCTGTAATTAATACACAAAATCTTGAACGTTTTGTTCATCTTGATTTAAAAGGTGCTGCACCAAAAATTGATTATTATGAAAAATTATTTCCATTTTTAAAACAACTTGGTGCTACTGGTTTACTTATTGAATATGAAGATATGTTTCCATTTACGGATTATTTATCTATAATAAAACATGGTCTTGCTTATTCAAATAATGATATTAAAAAAATCTTACAATTAGCAGAAATTAACAGTTTAAAAGTTATGCCATTACTTCAAGTTTATGGTCATCTTGAATATGTACTTAAGTTAAAAGAATTTATGCATCTACGTGAAGATATACGATATCCACAAGTTATTACACCATGTCTTGAAGAAAGTTATAGATTAATATTTGGTATGTTACATAAATATTTATTTGAATATATATAAATTCTTTAGAAATACTGTTATATTGTTTGTCTCAATAGCATAGATCTTTTAATCAACAGATGAATGTAATATTTTGGTCGATTTAAATTTGAATCTTCTCTTATTACCGTTCTATCATCGTTAATGTTCGAAAATTAGATTGGGTATCTGGCACTTTGGTCTGAAGTATAGGTTCAGGTGCAAACTCGCTGACAAGGCAAAGTCTCAACTAATCCACACTGTTTTCAAGGATATTTTGTCCATATGTGGGAGATAGTATTCTGAGAAAAATCCTAAGAAGGTCTTTCGAAGACTATGATCATTTTACTGATTTTTCCACCGAGCACAAGACATATAGGGATAAATTGAATAATAGAATTTTAATCTGAAATTTTGGTTCTTGTGATCATTAGAATACTTGAAAAGTTTCAGTGAAAAAATCTTTCCCTCTAGAGATATTCAATTTTAAAAGTTAACCTTTCAGGACTTTATAGATGATGAGACAAATGTTGTAGAATCAATATCTCCAGAAGGAAAGATTTTTTTCACTGAAACTTTTCGAGTATTCTAATGATCACAAGAACCAAAATTTCAGATTGAAATTTCGTTATTCAATTTTTCCCTATATGCCGTGTGCTAGGTGGAAAAATCAGTAAAATGATCATAACCTCTTTTTTTTGTTGATGTTTATAGAAGTAACTAAATAATATACTTTTTTATATAACATAAAAGTTTGAAGACTATGCTGTGAACACATCTGCTGAATATCGATTAGTTCCGGTTCGAGATCGGTAGCGAATCGCGGTTTATCCATAATTGTTCTCGGATCGGCAATCTACTGTCGGTTCTTATGAGTGCTGTACTATTCCGACGGTAGTATGACATGAGTTCCTCTATTCATTCTTTAGTAGTTTCAATTAGTCTGAAATGTTTCTTGTATACACAATCAGGACACATTTTTAAAATTATTAATACTAATAATCTCATATTCAAGATGTCAAGTGATAAACTTCAGTATTTCAATATTGATTAGTTATATAAAACTTATCTTGACAAAACTTAATAGAAATCTCTATCAAATAGTGAATGTGCAGTCATAAAAATAAGAAAACAACTTTAATGTATCATTAAAACCTAAAAAAAAATTTTCTTCTGATTAATAATATTTGAGATGTTCTTTTTTTTCTAGAAATGATCGATCAAATATTATCTGTTCATCCATCTATTCCATATTTTCATATGGGTTGTGATGAAGTTTATTATCGTCTTGTTCATCCTCAATGTGCTAGTTTAAATTTTCGTGACGATGCTGATCTATTTATCAGGTATAAATTTTTACTTCTTTTTGTTTTATTGAAAATTTACAATACGAAATGATTTTTCGATCTATTCAAAAATTTTTTCGTCAGAATAATCAAATGTTAGCTGTACGAATTCGATCTGGCTCTATCTTAGTTTATCCTTCGCACGAAGTTGTGTTCTCTTTTATGACTATTTCAACACATTAACTGGCAGACTGAGATAAATGGAGCTGCTCGGTGGTGGTTGTTTGGGTTCGCTACATGTCTAAGCATAATATACATAAAATAAATTGATCTGTCTCCATTATTTACTATATAATATTTCAAATGTTGTACTTAAATTTGATTTTTTTTTTAAATTTATCTCTTCTAATTTCTAGACATGTTACTCGTGTTGCTAAATATATTAAATCAAAACGTCCGAATATAAAACTATTTATATGGCATGATATGCTATCACAATTGGTTAGTTCAGGTTATAATAACGTAAGTTATCAATTTACTTTAGACATACGAAAAGTAATGATAGTAGAATCTTTATTTGATAGATAACAGAATTAATTGAACTTATTGTACCTATGATATGGACTTATGTTGATGATGTTAAACTTTGGTTTGATGATGGATTTTGGATGAGGTAAAAATATTAGTTGATCAAAATTATTAAAAACTTGTTTATATAGATTTTCAATGTTTCGTGAAGTATGGGTGGCTAGTTCATTTAAAGGTTCATCTGGTGAAACAACAACAATGAGTTATATTGCTCATCATCAACGTAATCAACAAACATGGCTTGAAACAATGTATATTGCATCAAATCGACATAAAGTTAATTTTATTGGTATTGCTGTTACTGGTTGGTCTCGATATGATCATATGCTTTCATTATGTGAACTTCTACCATCATCAATACCATCACTTGCATATGCATTACAAACAATTGTTTATGGTTATATAGATTATGAAAAAAATGTAACTATTACAAGATCATTATTAGGATGTGATCAAATACCATTATGGGAAAAATCAAACCGTATGACTTTTATATCATGTTCATTTCCAGGTAAAAAATTTAATTCTATAGCAAAACAGATTAGATTCGTTCGTTATAAATTGTATTAGAACTTTTATTTATTTATTTTTCTATGATATTTAGGCCATGAAATGTATGAAATAATGTATCACTATGATACAATCCTTCGTCAATATGAAGATGCAATGTCATTTGTACGTTTATTTATAACAGATATTCATCTTCGTCAAAATTATATTCATTATAAACGTAGTCAAGAATGTTTACAACGATTAATTTATTTAGAAGATCAAATGATTTATTTCATAGATGTATTTCAACGTGTTTGTTTAAATTTTTTTACACCTGATATTGGTTCAGAATGGTTACAAACATATTTTATGAGAAAATTTCGAGAAGTTCAATATCGTATAAATTTTATTGAACGTAGATTAAAAGTACAAAAATCATGGCCACAACGTCCATTACCTAATAATACTGCATTCATTGTTGTTAGACGACGAAATTTCACAGCTATTAATTTATCATGAATATTTGAATCGTTTTTAATATAAAAAAAACAATGGATTATGTTCTAGTCGCTTTTTTTGTGAAATAGAATTCTTGTTGTATATAAATTATTATCATTCTTTAGTTTAGTTAACAATTTATAGAAGTATAATAAATAAATTATAACTTTCCTATGTAAATACTTATTTTATAGAAGTAATTAGTCACTAAATATAGTGAATTTAATTTCATTAAATCAATAAAAAAAAAACGGGATTTTATAAATCATATATGATTCTTTTGATATTTGTTAAATAACTACCTATTGAAAGTATAATCGCTGATGTAACAATGAATGAAGCTCCAATATAAAACATCAAAGGTCTTGTAAGTCGAAAAAATATATATTGTAATAAACAAGCATAAATTATACCAAATGTACCACATATAGATAATACTTGAAGATTTTCTCTTTTTAATGCTTTAGTATAAAATGTATTTGTTATTAGATGACAATACCAATTATCAACATCCATTTTCATGGATATAAATCTGTTTGTCAAAATCTTCGAATAATACTATAAATCACTGCAACAATGAAAGCAAATGCTGTAAATTGAAAATTTATAATAGAATGTGGTTGTTTTGTTTTAATTAATTATTTTCTTGCAACCATTTGTGTAGCTTTTGTTAACGATGATATAAAAGCAAAAAGAATCGTGTCTTCTTATTTGCGAACATATATTCGAAACTCAAAAAAAAAAACTGTCAAAATCGATTTGGTTTGTTTTTTCAATTTTGATTATTCAAATAGAATATAATCGTAAGTCTCAAATTTTCATTTTTTAAACTTTTAAAAACTTTACTCATAACAATTTTAATAAAACTTATACCTTCAGTTTTACTTCTAATGAACTGCAATTTATAGAGTTCACTAAATAAACCTTCAAAATTTAACTATGAAATTTAATCGTTTTATAGAAAAGTAATCAAATTGTTAAATTCAAATCAATTAAAAATTTAAATCAATTTAATTTTATTTAAACTTAATTTTCTCAATGTTCGCAAATGAGAAGTCGCCAAAAAAAAAGACCTAAATAATAGTATAATAAACTGGTTACTGTAGAAGACATTATCGTAGTTTTAGATAATGTTGATTAATGAAATAAATGACTTAACATTTTAAGTAAAAATCGAGATTTTCTAGCAAGTATCAATCCAACTATTGTTAATATTAATGTAATAGCATTTACAAATTTGAAAAGTTCTCTAAAAAACAAAAATATAATAGATAATATGAGATCATTCGAAAATGTAATAATCAAATAGAGATGGTGCAGAGAAAACCATTACAATCTAATATATCATTTCAGCTTTATCCAATAAATATCAATGAGTCGATGGTGTGTGAAAGGAGATGATGAGAAGAGTAACACCCACACATTTCAGCAATCATCAGAAACAAATTATGAGGGAGTAAATAAAAAATAAAAGTTACTTGTTGACTTAAGTTTATTTGACTAATGCAAAGTAAGAGTAGAGTTTCACTCCTAACAATATGTTTCTCTTTCTTCGCACTCTATTCTAAAACATTTAACTCTGTTACCATCTAATGATAGACTAAATGTTATATTTTTACAACAAAGTAATCATATTTGCTAAAACTAGTAGCAACAAAAAAAACTTTGGTAAATATTTTAGCTGTATTATTCGATTTTTTCATTGTCACATAATATGAATAAGTGCTCTGGCACTTGACTGATTTCACTGTTAATATTTACTCTAAAAAGTAATTCTTCGAAAATATTCGTTCTGCATAACATATTATTTTTTTCAAGAGCGCAATCAAAACACACTATCGAATAAAACGAAAAGAAGCCTATTTAAATACCGAGAAAAAGTACCAAACTGTACCATACATTTCATTTTCGTTTTACTTTGCCATGAACACACAACTAGGTTATGTTTGTCTTTGCATCATTTGGCTATGGGCACCAGCAGGTAAATGACAAAGTAGATATTGTAAAACTTAGAGAATAACATTTAATTACGTTTGTTTTTATCGTATTAAACTAATTCTTTACATTGAAAGTATTAGATGCAGCACAATCGTACTATGTTACGAAATCTGGCAATGATAAAAACTTAGGAACGAGTCAATTACAAGCATGGGGTACTATTCAAAAAGCAGCTAGTCAAGCTACACCTGGCTCTACTGTCTATATTGGTCCTGGAACTTATTACGAAACTGTGACAATAGGCGTTCAAGGCAATGCTAGAAGTGGACCAATTACATTTACTAGTTTAATATCAAAGACTCGACCAATTATCTCAGGTGCACGTGCCAAAGCTCGATCATCCGATGAAATATTGAATTTAATCTATATGGAAAACAAGAGTTATCTACGTTTTGTCAATCTTGAATTGGCCAATTTGACACACACGGAATGTAGTGGAATTAGAATTGTTGGCGCTGGTACACAAGTTGGTACGATTTTGTCTATTACATTCATGTGTACTAATAACATATTCAGGATTATTTGAGATTCTACAAAACTAAAAATCAGAAGTGTACTAAGTCTAACTATGAATACAAAAAAGTCAACATATTTTGAGTCAACACAAGATTAAACTCAATAGTAAAAAATTTTGTTCTTTAACAAAAATTTGCTTAAAATAGAAATTGAAAATCATTTGATGATCTAGCAAATTATTTGAACAGTTGATTTAATATATGTTTTGTTTTTTTTCCTTTGTAGAACTTCGTAATTTACTTATTCATCATATACGTGGTGGAGGAGAAACAGGTGGAGCTATGGCAATTACAGTTTATAACAAAGATCAGCGAACAAGTCGTAGTGGATTGATCATTGACAATTGTACATTACATGATTGCGACCCAGCTTGGAGTGAGGCTCTAACTCTCAATGGTAACGTCGAACAGTTTCAAATTACAAACAATCGTGTCTACAATATGAACAATATTGGCATTGATTTTATTGGTATGAACTTGTATAGTTCTTTTTTTTTTAAATTATTTTTAGACACTAAAATAGTACAAGAATAAAATTTCCTATAAATGACTGATTTATATTCAATGGATTTCTATTGGAAAATTTATCTAGTTATATCATAATTTTTGTAATGAATGATAAATAGAATTGAATCAATTCTCATATTTCTTCTCTATTATGTAAATTAGATTTATCAAATATTTTGATTTTGTTTTTTCGTGGATAGGTGGAGAAAGTGACATGGGCGCTCTTGGAACTCGTTCTGGTCGATGTGCTAACAATACAGTTTGGAATATTCATTCGACATATGATTCCAGTGCAGCAGGTATTTATGTCGATGGAGGATTTAATATTACTGTGGAAATGAATGAAGTTCATCATTCGGATGCTGGAATAGAAATCGGAGCAGAAAATAAAGGTCGAATTGCATCGAACATGACCGTTCGAAAAAACTACATTCATAACAATAACAAAGTGGGCCTTGCCTTCGGTGGATATGATCAAAAGTAAGTCAGTCAATAGTGTGTGTGTGTGTAACATTGAAGAAAATATTGTTTTTTGTTTCTCATAGCCGAGGACGTGTTATCAAGAGTTTATTTGAAGCTAATCGACTCGAATATAATGATGCCTTGCGTACGGGAAGTGGAGAAATCGTTGTTTCTTTTGCGTCTGATAATAGTGTTTATGCGAATATTGTCAAACCGAATACACAAAATATTATTCTCTATGCAGATCGGGTTGGTGGTTTGAAGAATGTATTCGATCGTCAAAGTTACTATCCAAATGGAGTTAAAGCGACTCAGAGTAGCTTGATTTTTAATTGGGGCAATCAACAATATAAAGGATTAAGTGCATTTCAGAAGGCAACGAAACAAGAGATGCATGCTACGGTAATTAACGGAAAACGTAGACGCAAAAAAAAATGACGAAATATTGTTGGACATTTTCATTATTGAACTATTTCGAATACAAATAAGACTATGTTTAATCCTTTTGCTTTTTCAATTCAATATTAAAGACATATGGTCATTCTTCACCTACTAATTCCCTTCATGATAATTGATTAAATCATTTTTTTGAATAAATAAATATCCTTCGAACATATTAATCTTTTACTCTCCATAACGATTCCAAAAGAGTCACTAATCCAACAACTATTGAAATAGAATATTAGTCTCTTCTGTAGGTCAATAGTATAAGCAGATTGACCAGATGTACTTTCTTGTGTACAGAATGATTTGGCGATTCAAGTCGCTATTGGAGACTAACGACATGAAAAATTCTATTTTTTATCTTTTGGGAGTAGGATTTAGATAGCTGTAGTTGTAGGTCTGACACTACACCTATTATAGGAACAATCAATTCATATTACTTGTATATATTCTCTTCATTTTCAGGTAAAAATTATTATTAATATAATGATTGAACTTTATAACAAAGAGATTAGGATTGTGTGACTCATTACCGAAACGAAGATCATCGATTGAAGTTTATCGAAATGAAGATAGCTGAACTGAATTCCTTTCAATCATCAATGCTTGTGAATTTCGTTTTGGAGATCATTCTTTACGTCAACTCTTTCTGAATATTTATCATATATATATACTACCTGTATGTATAAATTTCATTGAACGTAGATTAAAAATACGCAAACATTATGACCAAGACGCCCATTACTTAATAATATTTCATTTATTGTTGTTAAGCGACGAAATTTAACAACTATTAATATTTGAATTGGTTTTAATATTAAAAAAAAACAATGAATTATGTTCTAGGCACCTTTTTTTGTGAAATAGAATTCTTGTTGTATATAAACTATTAATAATGTCTCTTGATAATATATAACCTACTTTCTTATGGCATTTCTAGAAGTTTAAGAAAAATTTTGCTACAGAAAAGTGTCCCAAAATAGATACAATAAAACAATCGCCTTGTGATTAGCAATAGTAATTACATCGGGCTTCACATTTTTATCTTTTAGTGATTGGACTACAGCTTTCGTTAGATAAGATGCATATGGATTCTTGTACATTTCAACCAAATACCTATTAACAAAAATACTGAATAAATTAGTATACACATCACACATACTTTTCTTCAATTATATCTATATTTGGATATCATCATAAGTTTCTTCGAATCTATTTTTCATAATCAACAAATTTTAACTTTCAACAAACAGATATTTATTAACTCATGAATAATTTTGTCTAACATATATTCCATGATCGATCTGGAGTTTCGAATAGAGTAGCTTCTTGTAAATATGTGGAAAATGAACTGTAAATAATAATAGGATTCATAAAGACGCCGATAAACATACGTCGCGTACTATTTTAATAAAGTTACAAGAAGCTATGACCCGTATCGAGATTAACACAAAAATAAGTTGACTATTGAATCCCTGTTGTCTTTTATGAAACACGGTCCAGTAATTAGCGAATAATTATTTATTTGCGAGATACATGCTAACTAATTTTGCTATACATTGGCAAATATCAAATTCTTTGTGTACATCAATCAACAATTCAAGAAAGATTTCCTTGTTCACAATCTTTCGTCTGAATCGTATGCAAACTCTCAATAAACTCTAAAATATAATTTGAACACAATGTACTTAGGACCTACCAAAAGTAATGACACGAATACCATGAAATCTTATAGAAGGCTAGAAGAAATTATCTTTCTACACATACTAATAGCTCAAATCGAACTCTAGAATTTTGAAATATTTCATCATTCTTCAGGTGATATTATAATAGCAAAGTTGCGATGTGTTAAACTGTGCTGTTCATTTTTTAAAACTTTTCTTCTTGAGAATACATGACAATTAATTACACATATGCAAAAAACAAACAAGATACGTGCCATTACGCGTATAAAGACGGCTAATTATCCAACGAGACAAACGAGAGAATACAGGGGAAGTCCAAAGAGAAATTACAAGGAGAGCACAAGATAAAAGATATACGTCTAACGAGAGAACCGTTTTTAATGATAAATCATTTTCGAGTCCAGATTGTTATAGTCGAGGTGTTCCTCTTCGATTAAAAGATGGGAGAAACGAATAATAGACACTCCTTTCTACTATCGGAATTTTAAAAGAAGGCACCTGGAAACAAAGTTTATAACTTTCGAACGAAAAGTCATAGCGATCTGCGGTTTTCAGCAATCGATAGAAGATTATAGGGGGCACATTTTTATATAAAAATCAAGATTTAAATAATCAGTGATTATGCAATCACTGAAAGAATAGGCTAATTATTTGGTGAAATCTCAGCAGAACAAGCTGAAACTTTCAGCATATATAGCCCTACTCTACCTCAATCTTCACTGAAAATATCACCGATAAATCTTGTAATGACGAGGAATGGTGAGCCAATCATCATCTGGTCTTACATAAGGCACTCATTCAATCAAAATATTAAGAAATGGCCTCAACTTTTGGCTGAATAAATACCATAATCTAGACTTCACATCTATCCAATAGCATCGCACTTTGATCGTAAAAATGTACGGTAATAGCCAAAATTCAACGAAGAAATGATTTTCATACAGTAAGTATTTTAAAACAAATCTCTCCAACTTTCTTAAGAGAAATGCCGAATTTAGTAATATTTTCATCGTCTCTTCTCGTTCATTCAATCAAACTATGATATAATTACACAGATATGAAGTCTAGATTATAGTATTTATTCAGCCAAAAGTTGAGGCCATTTCTTAATATTTTGAGTGAATGAGAGTCTTATGTAAGACCAGATGATGATTGGCTCACCATTCCTCGTCATTACAAGATTTATCGGTGATATTTTCAGTGAAGATTCGGGTACACTGGGGTTATATATGCTGAAAGTTTCAGCTTGTTCTGCTGAGATATCATCAAATAAGTAGCCTATTCTTTCAGTGACTGCATAATCACTGATTATTCAAACCTTGATTTTTATATAAAAATGTG